AACATTCTTAAGTATCTGCGAAAGACTTAGGACTGGGTCCTTGTGCTTGATGGCAGTGATGACTTAAGAGTTACAGGGTATAAAGATGCCAACTTTCAGACTGACATAGATAACTTCTGCTCTCATTCGGGTTGGGTGTTTACCTTGAATGGAGGAGCTGTGACTTGGAAAAGTTCCAAGCAAGAGACTGTAGCTGATTCAACGTGCGAATCAGAGTATATAGTTGCAAGCGAAGAGTTAAAGGAGCCTATATGGTTAAAGAACTTCATTGGAGACCTTGGAGTTGTACCAGCCATAAAAGAGCCTATGGAAATTTTCTACGATAATGAAGGAGTGGTTGCCTTAACCAAGGAACCAAGGGATCATGGCAGATCCAGACATATCGACAGAAAATATCATTTCATCAAACATCGTATAAAAGAAGAACTCCTCATGGTCAAGAGGGTATCATCAGAAGAGAATCCTGCATATCCCCTCACAAAGGGTTTGAGTAGGATTAAATATGTTCAACATGCGAGGAGCATTGGTCTGAAGTATGATATTAGTTTTAGTGATTAGATAGATTTTCAAAAACTTGTAACAATATATATGTAATTGACATTTGATCATTAACTAATGGAGATTTATTTATAAGTAATAGTTTACTATCTTTTGTCAATTGTTTATTTTGTGTTTCATTTTTGCATGTTTTACTTCCTGAATAATTGAATTATTCAAACATCCACAGTCGATCATACTTTGAAAGTAAGTAATGAAGTAAGATTGTCATGAATTGGCTTGTAGATTGTCTAAGTGTTTAGACATAGCAAATGTTTGTTGCAACGTTCACGAGTACTAGATTGTCTAAGTATTGGATTAAACCCACACTCATTTGAATTACTTCATGGAATTTATCACGGGTAATTGTGAGACGATAATATCGTATAGTCTTTAAACCGAGATATATTGGTTGTTGTTTACAAGTTGATTGTGCATTGATAATGCGTAAACATATCAGTAACTTGATGTTATAAAATGTATTGTTGTGTACGATTTGATGAGTAAATAGTAAATGCATATAAGTCAAAATTTATCTGTTCCTTTTATCCCAAGGGGTAAAAGTGATATCTTAGTCCCCTCGATGATTTGTGTTGACTTATGTGTTGGACCTGGTCAGGACTGAATTGATGTGTTCAATTAAGTTCCTTGTCAAATAAATCTAAAATCGGGAAACAAACTGTTGGACATTGAGAATGATTCTGTTCCATGTCTTTATCCACATGATATATTGCAGAACGGAGGATTATATGATCCCCTAACTAAAGGACGCATCATTGACAAGGTCAGAGTTTGACAACGGCTTTTGAAAGATAAGATTGCAAATCAGATTCTGAAGTCATATTTGCAATTTTAGTTATTAGACCTATCCTAGTGGGAGACTGTTAGATTAGGTGGCTAAGCTCATAACTATAATTGGTTTGTACTTGGTTTGATATTAGCATTGTTCTTTTGGGTTGCCTTCACCATAACAACTTGACAAGATGAATTTTGGAAAAAGAGGTTAATATGTGATTTAATAATATATTATAAGAATAATATATTAATTAGAGATCATATTATTTAATTAGTTTTAATCAAAAATTAATTTGGAATTAATTTTCGGATTAAAGGAACTGATTAAAAGAATGGGGATTGGTTTTGCAAATCATTGATAGTTGCAAAGTTGGGCTGATGGACTCCTTTAGGATGAGTAGATGAAATCTATAGCAAGCCCTATAGAATTTTATCCAAGGCTGCTAGCTAGGAGGCCCATGGACTGCTTAAGGCCTAAGCAAGGAAATTAGGGTTTCCACCTGAAAACCCTAGCAGCCTCAAGTATATAAAGAACCCCCTAGCATTTGATTTTCGGCCCCAAGCTTCTAGGAAAAACCCTAGCTAATTTTCATAGTGCTTTACCATCTCTCTCATCTCATCCTTTGCTATTCGTGTTTGTGACTCCATTAGAGGTGCAACACTTAAGGTGCTAAAGCTTTCAAGAGTCAAGATCATCTGTGGAATTCTTATTATTACTAGATAGCAAGCAAGGTATTCTTCTAACCCTAGTCTTCATATAGATTTTGAAATTGTATGCTAGTATTAGGGTTATTGCTTTGGAATTTCAATTTGCATGTATAACTAGTGAAAAAATTAGATCCTAAACAATTAGGATTGCATGAACACATAAGAATGTTGTTGTGCTCAAAACACATCAACCTAAAGGTGGAAGGGATTGATGAGGGTTAAGTTGCTTAAATAGAGCTCAGAACTCTGAATTTAGGGTTTGTAGAACTGGCGAGTACGTGCGGACCCATTACGTACGCCCATCTTACTCATGAAGGCCCACGTTCCTTTTAATGAATTATGCCATGCTTACGCCCCAAGTACGCACGATGTAAGGACTACTTTTGCAACAAATTCATATTTTGAATCTAAAAGGAAAAAAATACTTGATGTCTAGGTGTTACAATATGTGTTTATATAAGTCGTTTATTACACAAATTTAATTTGTCTTATATGTCTTTAAACATGTAAATTCTTGTTTAACACATGTAAGACATGAAAGACGAATTTAGGATTTGTGTCAACACAAATAAACACGTAACACAATTTTCTAAAACACATACACAAAAAACCTGTGTCGTGTCGTCGTGTCATGTATCTAGTTGTCGGGTCTAGTTGATTCCTTGTAGACTAATAAATAAAAAAGAGGTTTTGATGGCTCTATAACAACTTGGTGAATGTTATGGTATTAGCACAATTCTATAGTCTTTGGTGATAAAAAACAAAGAATTGGAAGATTTTAGATTCTAATTTTAGTCATTCGTTAATTGGTGTTTTAGTAGGAATCCAAAATTAATGTTTCATAGAATCGATTGGCTAAAAAGACCATTTTGAATTGTATTATGATGTAATAGTTTTTAGTTTTTTACTAGATACTTGCCCGTCTGTTTTAATATATGAAACATTAAATTAGTTATATAGGTCGGGTCGAGCCCATTTATGCATATAAATTATTTAACGGGATAATGACTTAAAGAGTAATATATTTTTGATTTGTACATATTTGGTCACTGAGATTTTTTTTCATCCACATTTTCTCTTTCATCTTGTTTAACTATACACATTCAGTACTTATGACCGGCTACTCCAGGTAAACCGAAAAAATGACTTAATACAGTATATTTTCTCACTTTGTAAACATTTAGTCTTTAATATATATATATATATATATATATACACACACACACACACACATACACAAACATTTAGTCCTTAATATTTTTTTGTTACAAAATAAGTCCTTGTTGTTTTTGTACATATTCAATACTTATGAATAATTTATTTACGTTTTTCTCACGATATTATACGTAGGACAATCATTAATGAGTGTTTGGGGTTGTTCATGCTTATGGGTATTACGACCTCAACTTTTTGGTTGCTTAGGTTTTGTGTTCTGAACGTTGTAATATCTTCATATGATCTCAGATTTTTACGATCTTTAGATCCACATATTCGTATTTATTGTGATGTGAATGTCGTAACTTCTTTATATGATCTCGGATTTAATGATCTTTATATTCACGCGTTCATATTTGAGTCTACTACAACTTTCATTTAGATTATTCTCGTTAAAAAATAATATATTTTTACTTACGATCTTTATATACATGAGTTCTCTGTGAATATATATAAATAAAAATATATTAATTTTTAACGGGAGTAATGTAAACGAAAATTGTAGTAGACTTAAATATGAATGCGTGGATATAAAGATCGTTAAATATCGAGATCATATGAAGAAGTTACGATGTTCAGAACAAAACAAATATGAATGTGTGGATATAACAATTGTACAAATCTGAGAACGTATGAGTTACGATGTTTAAAACATATAACCTAAGCAATCGAGTAGTCAAGGTCGCGATGGTCATAAGCATGAACAACCACACATACCTCATTAATGATTGTCCCATATAGGATGTCGTGGGAAAAAACCTAAAGAAACCATTTATAAGTACTGGATCTGTACAAAAACAAAAATGACTTATCTTGCAACAAAAAAATAAATGACTAAATGTGCAAAAAAAAAAATGAATACCGACTAAATGTGTAGAAAGTAAAAAATATATTATCATATTAAATCATTTTTTTCCGGTTTACCTGAAATCACCAATCATAATGTACATTTAAACAAATTGAAAGGTCAAACATGGACGAAAAAAACTTAGTAATTAAATGTGTACAAAATAAAATTTATATTATTTTTTATGTCATTATCCTTATTTAAATAAACGAATAAAATGGTATATCAAAAGAAAAAAAAAAAAAAAGCTAAACCTTTATTTTAAACCGTATCCACGTAACAAATTCTTTATAAAGGCCATCTATATGGTACTTTTTGTAAATGACCAGAGACCACTTTTGTAATTTGTCAAATGGTTATGATATGATGAACGATTTTTGTTTCCCATTTTATTGCATCATCATTTGCCTTTCAAAACCACTCACTTTATTTGATGCATAAACGTAGTATATAAACTAATTAGGTAACACTAATTAACTTTGTCTAAAAATTTATATAATGAAAGAACAACATGAAATTTCTACCATTAATTAAGTAAAAGTATGTAACCATTAAGTTTGACCTAATGCTACTACGTATCAACTAGAATCATCTTATTATCTAATGTTTTTCTCCTTTTTTGGCACACAATATCAAACTCCATGAAAACTTGTCTTATTGTTGGATTTATGACTTTTATTATTTTTGTATTTGTTTATTATTTTTATATCATAGCATTATATATTATATTTAAATATTTAATATATAATAAGAGAAAAAAAAAAAGTTAAAAACTCCAGATGAGAACGAGGGAAAGGGACGATGATCATATCAAATCTTGTTTTGCCTCACAGTTTTCCACTTCTCACTATCCCCACCAATCCCAGCTCACAAAATTTAATTCTCAAAAATTAAAATATTAAATTAACCCCATTATGATATTATCCTCTAATTCCTTTCCGCCTTCCTCCTCCACACAACCACCACCAGCCGCCGCGTCGCCACCTTCTTTTGGACTCTCCAACGCTCTCTTCTCCTCCTCCTCCGCCATCTCCTCCACGTCCGCCCCCAACCGCTGCAACCCACTTCTATTTTTCTCAGCTCTTACCCTCAACGCCTCCAGTAACTCCCTCAATGCCTTCTTGTTGTCTCGCCGGTTTTTTATCAAGACCTCGCTGATATCCGCCGGAGTCATCTCCGCAGCGTCGGTGACCTCCTCCAACCTCTGTAAAACCGACGTCTCCACGTCGTCCGGCGTACACCCTAGGTAGTTCTTTAGTAGAATTTTTAACGACGGGAAAGAACAGTGGCTCATGAAGACGTGCATATCCATTCGCCCGCTTCGTAACAATGCCGGGTCAAGTTTTTCAATATGGTTTGTCGTGAACACAAATATTCTCTCCGATCCGCAGCACGACCATAACCCGTCTGTAAAATTCAATAAACCGGATAATGTTATGGAGTTGTTGGTCCCACTGGTTTCGATATCGCCGTCGACGAAAGTAGAAGAGTTCCTATCGCCGCCGCCGGTGGTGGTGGTGGTTTCTTTGCGGTTTGTGAGGTTTATGGAACAGTCAATGTCTTCGATTACGATGATTGATTTAGAACTTGTCTTCATAAGCAACTTCCGGAGCTCCAAATTCGTCTGCACTTCAGTTAGTTCAAGATCGTAAATGTCGTACCTAAGAAAATTTGCCATTGCAGCGATCATGCTGGATTTTCCGGTGCCGGGTGGACCATACAAGAGGTAACCGCGTTTCCAAGCGCGACCGGTGCGGGTGTAAAACGCCTGGCCGTCGGCGAAGTCGCGGAGATCGGACATGATTTCCGCTTTTTTCACCGGATCCATTGCCAGCGTCTCGAATGTGCTAGGATGCTTGAAAGGCACCGATTCCCATGGTTGTCCCCGGGAATCGAGCGATCCACCGCGAGAATTTGTGTACAGCAACCTGTCTTGATTTTTTCTTCGAATTTCGTTCGCTTTTTCGTTGATGAAGTTGAGGTAGGATTCTAGGATGTAAGATTTATCCCTTTTGTTAATCCGGAGAGTGAACCCACGTTTCTCCTCCGGCAACGGCCGCCATGAAAACGTCTGGGACTGTCGTGGGGTTACGATGTGTTCCCAGACGACGGAGACCCCATTGAAAACGTCGGTGAGGCGGTCGTTGTGAGAGAGACCGAAGGTAATTGCGGAGGAGTTGAGGCCGCGGGTGAGGGAGAGACGGTTGGAGGAGGTGGCTGAACATGAGGATGAGGCGGAGGAGGAGAGGTAGAGCTGGACGGCGTTGTAGAGCTCATTGGTGTTGACACCTTCGATCTCTGTGATATCGTAGTAGCAGTAGGAAGAGCAGCAGTTGAATAAACGTTGAAAGAGTTTTATTAAGGCGAAGCGGAGCTCCGGCGGGAACACGGCAAGTAAGAGTGTTTGGGAGAAAGCCCAAACGCCCATTAGAGACGCCACCGTCGTCCAAAGCTCCGTCATCACCGGGTGCTGATGAATTTACAGAGTGAAAGAAAAAGAGTTGTAGAGATGGTGAAAACGAAAGTCTTGGCTGTTGGAATTTATAGATTAAAGATAGTGATGTAATAAATAGATTCTAATTTTTACATGTGATAAATAGTTTAATAAATATTTAGATTATTATCTAACAAAAGGGTAAAATAGTAAACTAAATTATTAATGAGTGTACTGATCTTGGAATGTAGTATATGGTTTAATTCTCCAGGGTGTGAAGAATAATATTTTATGGATCATTAATTTATATTTTTATTGGGATAAAAATAGACTATGCATCATACCAACCAATTAAAACGACAGTCACTTAAATAAGTGATTAATTTGCAAGTGGCATTAAATTAGTAAAACCAAGTACGGTAGCCTAACTCTCCTTTTAGTAAGGTTGTATTTGTTTTTTTAAAAAATCCTCTTCTAACCTCTTAGTGTTGCGCGGCGCAGCACACGCGCAACATTTTTAAATTTGCAGCAGTTTGATTTTTAGAAGGTTTTTGGCTCCCGTCCTCTTCCCCACGCAGCATTGGACTTTCCTCTTCTCAGCACTTCTAAACCTAATAACAAAAAAAAGACACGGACAAAAGCACAGCCGCAACTCGTTCATTCTCTCTTGGCGTCGAATCTGTTGAAGACCGGAAGAAATCGCTGCCAGTCACCGCTTGCTGCTGCTGCTCGCCGGTCGCTGCTCACTGCTGCTGCTCACCGCCTACTGCTGCTGGTGGTCGCCGATTTCACTGCCCCATCCTCCATCTGCCTTCGTCTTCAACATCACATCACACAGGTTTGTTTGTTTTTTTTTTTTTTGTCAAGATTTCTTAATTGACTTTGAAAGTGTGAAATAAAATTGAAGCTGTGAAATAAGATTGAAGAAAGAAGCTGTGAAATAAGCTTTGAAGCTGTGAAATAAAATGATAATCTCATGATTTTAATGGTTTCATAAGGGCATAATTGGCTTTTTTTTTAACAGATCCACCATAGAGAGAAGTTTGTGTTTTGTTATAATTCTAGCAGTTAGAGATATTGCAAGCATGAATTGAGTTAAAATTCTGCTTTAGTGCTTTGTTATAATTCTAGGAGTTTGTGTTTTGTTCTTTAATTAGAGCCATGATTTATGTTTAGGTTCATGAATTTTTGTGTTGAATTGTTATGAATGTTGGGTAAAATCATAATCCTTGCTGAAATCATATACTTATATTGTGAAATCATAAACTCGTATACTAGTTTATATGCTGAAATCATTAGCTCAAATGGTTTTTTTAAACTTATTTGTTGAATTGTTATCACTTGTATTTCTTGAATGGAGATCAAGTTTATGCTTCTTTTCAAGTTTGTGCTTAAATTGTTGAATATGCTAAACGTATTTGTTGATTATGTTGAAATATGATTAATCTTTTTTGCTAAAGTATGTATTTTATATTTTTTTGTTATTAGCGATGGGAGATAAACATACATGGACCAATGAGCAAACAAAATGCTTATTGCTCACTTGTATTGAAGAAGTACAAACCGTGGGTAGAAAAGGTTTGAGTTTGCACAAACAATCATGGTACAAGTTAGGAACAACCATTAAGGAAAAGTATGGCGTGGATTTGAGTCAACGACAATTAAAAAACGCCTATGATAACCTTAAAGCCAAATACACAGGATGGTTATACTTAAAAAATAAAACTGGAAACCTTTACAATCCCCAAACAAATACTTTTAATTTAACAAATGAGGAGTGGGAGGACTTTAAAAAGGTATATATACACACACATATTTATATGTATTTTGTTTATATAGTTGCCAATTCTTATATTACTTTTGTTACATTGATTGCGTTTAGGGACATCCGAAAGCCGCTTCTTTGAAAACCGTCCCATTATTGTTCCCAGAGCTTTGTGCAGAACTCTTTGATGGAAACAGTGCATCTGGTAATCTCAGTTATGCCACATCCCAAACACCATCGGGACATGGATCATCTTCTTTCCATGTCGCACCACTACATCTTATGGACGCCCCTTCTATTAACATAGATGAGGATGATTTCTTTTCCAATCATACTAGTGAGCATTTTACTCAGCCTTCACCTTCTGCTGCTTCACCTTCTGGTAACCCCAACAAAAGGGCCAAACCCTCAACTCCTAGACCTAGAGCTCCTAGTGCCTCACCTGATCCACCTTCTTCTGCCTCGCCTAAAGCTTCTATTACTGCTGATGATTTAGCATTGGAGATGCAAAAAGCTCTACGTCATTTGACTCAAGGGCCAACAATTCCCCAATGTTTAGAGAAGCTTGAGTTGCTCGAGTTAGACCCAATAGACCCTCTACGATTTGCTGCGTATCACATTTTTGGAGGGACCATGAATATGAGAGAGATGTGGGTAAATTTGCCTAATGATCCACGAATATTAAGAGGATGGATCGAGATGACAGCTACAAGTTTGGGAGTTTTAAAGGATGGAAAGATCGTTCGTTAACTTTATATGTTTGAGTTGTTTAGGTTTTAATTGCATGTTTTGGAACTATATGGTTATGTTTTTTGGTTATTTCTACTTGAATGTTATTTTTAGTATTTGGTACTTGAGATTTATGTTATGTTATTTGGTACTTGAAATTTATGTTATGTTTTTTGGTACTTGAAATTTATGTTATGTTTTTTGGCACTTGAAATTTATTTTATATTTTTTTGTACTTGAGATTTATGTTATGTTTTTATCTTATGTTATGTTATGTTTTGTTGATTAATAGGTTTGTAATGGATCACGACAAAAAGATATTACTCATAATTCTTATGTACTTGTACGTCCGCTACTTTTGGAAGAGAGGTGTCAAACGAGTGCGGGACAACGATTCGGAAATGACGGGACATGAATTTACGTTAGAGTTACTTCACCGTAATCCTCTACAATGTCTTGAAGTGCTACGTATGTCCCGTGAATCATTTGTTCGGCTATGTGCTCATTTTAGAGTACACTACGCGTTAAAGGATAGCAAACATGTGTCGGTTGAGGAGAAGATGGCTATGTTTTTGATGATGATCAGTCATAACCAACGTTATGTGATTATCAAGCGGAGATTTCAACACTCAAAGCAAACAATTCATAAGTTTTTTCATGAAGTGTTGGACAAAATGTTGCTTTTTTCACATGACATTATAGTGCCAACTTCTTTTAATCCGAATCCAAACATTCCGGGACATAATAGGAGGCTACGACGGGTGTTCAAGGGAGCAGTTGGTGCACTTGATGGCACTTTGATACATGTTGTTGTCCCTGCAAACAAACGGGATTTATATAGAAGTAGGGGAAAAGGCGCTTGTTACCAAAACGTATTGGCAATATGTGACTTCAACATGATGTTTACGTTTGTTGTGGCCGGTTGGGAAGGGATAGCACACGATTCTAGAATTTTATCAGAAGCATTAGCAAATCCACATGCACCATTCCCGCTCCCACCACCAGGTAAATTTATGGTTATTTAAATAGTTTTATCTTAGCTTGAAAAATAAATGACTTTTTTTTTTTTTGCTTTTTTACAGATAAATATTATCTTTGTGATGCCGCCTATGCAAACATTCGAGGTTTTATGGCACCGTACCGTAATGTAAGGTATTGGCTTGGAGATTTCCGTCGAAGACGTGCATTAACGAATAAAGAAAAATTTAACCATGCACATGCAAAACTTCGGAATGTCATTGAGCGGGCTTTTGGTGTCTTGAAAGCACGATTTCCTATATTGAAGAGGATGACACCATTCTCGTTGGTTACACAACGAAACATAACCCTAGCATGTTTTGCGCTTCATAATTTTATAAGAAGAGAGGGACTACGTGATGAGTTTTTTGCACGATATGATGAACCAAATGTCTCGGTTCGGAATAACAATGCAGTCGTTGATAATGATGAAGATGAGATTCCAACACATGGTACTGCAGCGGACCGTGAATATATGACCCAGTTACGGGATGAAATTGCCGAGCAATTGATGCAAAATATGGAATGAAAATTATTAAAGTTTGGTTTTATGAATTTTATTTAAAAATGTTATTATAAGACTAATTTGGTTGTTTGAATTTTATTTCAATGTTTTAAAACTACTATTATTAAATTTTTGGTATTAAAAAACTATCTTCGGTTTATTAAATTACTTTATTTTAAATTTTTTAATATATGCAGCAGTCTGCAGATGTTAAAAAAACAAACATGCTTCTCATTACAGTCTGCAGCACTTTGGTCCACCTCTTCTGCTGCAGAGGGCCGCAGAGGTGGTCCGCAGACTTCAGACAGTTTCACTTCGGAAAAACAAACAGCACCTAAGAGTTTAAGTTCAAATCCGAATCCTTCTAGTTGAAGCCGTAATAGCACCAAACTTAGTTCGGAAAAAAAAAAAAAAAAAAAAAAAAAGGAATAGAGTGTTTGAATATTTTGACCATGAAAATTTGAGTTTTGTAGAACGATCAAGGAATTCTCAAAGGGCTCTACGAAGGTTTTTACTTACAGTTCCTCACAGATGTGATGATGAAGAACAGATCTTCAGACCCTCAGCCACCTCTGAGTAACTATGCAACAAACCTTTTTTTTTTTTTGTCTTTTTACCTGCCACCAACTGAACTCGTCAAGTTGTCTCATCAACCCGCCGAGTCACTCATGTCCAGACTCATCGGGGAAAACCCTAGCCAACTCGTCGAGTCACTCATTGACTCAACGAGTTCATTTAGTCTATGTTCTCATTAACACATTTTAAGGCAGATCTATAACCCCAAACTCTAGATCTAGCCATCCAAGGCTGAGATACCATGTAAAGTCATAATCTTTATGTCCATGTATTGCACTTTGGGCTTGAAGTGCCAAAACAAATCCCATTTAGGTTTTTAAGCATATAGGCTCTTCTGTAGTTGAATAAAGTTGGGACCTTTGGACTCTAGGGACCTCATAAGGTCTAGATCTGAAGTCTCATTTGATAAGCTCAACACACTCACAATCTCAAGGAAGGATGGAAATAGCCCTAAAACTCCATAATCATGAGATCTAATCAACATAAGAAGAAAGGTAGGGACTTTTTACCTTCAACAGAAGCTATGGATGAAATAACAATAGATCCAACAGTCCCTCCTCGCTCCTTGTCATGATTCTTCTCTCTTCTCTTCCAAAAGATCACAAAAATGCCCAAGATTAATTCTCCTTTCTCTCTTAGCTCACTCTAGATGGTTAGGGTTTCACTCAGGGGAGTAAGGTGACTGGTGAGGCAGAAATGAGGGCTTAAGGTCCTTTAAATAGGACCCAACCTTGGAGGTTTAGGGTTTCTTCTCACAGCGCCAACTCGCCAAGTTGGTTGTAAAACCCACATGGCCAATTTGTCCCTACTCGACGAGTTGGGGCACCCACTCGTCAAGTTGCTCATTCAACTCATAAATAAATAGATAAATATTATACATGGGAGTCGGGATGTTACAATTCTCCCCCGCTAGAATCAGACTTCGCCCTCGAAGTCATGCTCCAGAAATAACTTTGGGTATTGCTCGCGCATCTCAGACTTCGACTTCCAAGTCCACTCGGATCCCTTCCGATGTTGCCATTGGACATGAACCGGGTGCACCTATTTATTCCTCAAAACCTTCACTTTCTGATCCAAGATCATTATCGACCTCTGAATGTAATTCGGGTTCGCATCTACTTGAATGTCGTCTAAGGTACCACCACCGTCTCATCGGCTACACACTTCCTCAACTGAGACACGTGGAAGGTGTTATGAATCTGACTCAACTCTGCAGGTAGCTCCAACTGATAAGCTACTTTCCCCACTCTGGCAGTCACTCTGAAAGGGACGATATATATAGGACCCAACTTTCCCCGCTTTCTGAATCGGATCACCCCTTTCCACGGGGACACCTTTAGGAGGACAAAATCTCCAACTTGGAACTCTAGCTCGGATCGTCGTCTGTCTGCGTAACTCTTCTAGCGACTCTAGGCTGTCAGTAACCTCTTTCTGACCTGCTAAATCTGCTCAGTCGTCTTGAGCACTATCTCAATGCCACCCATCACTCTCTGCCTTACTTCTCCCTAACAGATGGGATTCCGACACGTCCTCCCATATAAGAGCTCAAAGGGAGGCATACTAATATTGGAATGGTGCTTGTTGTTGTAAGAAAACTTAGCCAAGGGCAAATAGGTGTCCCATCTTCTACCGAAGTCCACAACACATGCACGCAACATGTCCTCAAGCGTCTGTATCATCTGCTCACTATGTCTGTTTGTGTGTGGGTGGTATGCGGTACTAAAGTGCAATCGGGTACCCAACTCCTCATGAAACTTCTTCCAAAACTTGGAAGTAAAACGCACATCCCAATCTGACACTATTGATGTCGGCACTCCATGTCGTGCCACCACCTCTCTCACATAAATATTGGCCAATTTCTATGTAGAAGAACTCTCATTGATAGCAAGGAAGTGAGCATTCTTCGTCAACTGGTCCCCAATCACCCATATCGCGTCGACACCTCGAGCGGTTCTCGGTAATTTGGTGATAAAATCCATGGAAATTTGTTCTCACTTCCACTGGGAATCTCAAGAGGCTACAAAGGGCCATGTGGATGCTGGTGCTTTGCCTTAACCCAGCGATAGGTTAAGCACCTCTCCACTACCCATGCCACATCCCTCTTCATATAGGGCCACCAGTAATCTCTCTTCAGATCCAAATACATCTTAGTGGCCCCTGGGTGGATCGAGAATCTCGATCTATGTGCCTCTTCCATTAGTATGCACCGAGCTCCACCCATATAGGGCACCCAAATCTGCCCACGGAAAATCATAATTCCCCAACTATCAGTCTCAAACTCGGAAACCTGTCCGATCACCTGTTCCCTCTTGTAGTTTTCCGGTCTCATGGCCTCCACTTAAGCCTATCGAATGGTATCTAAGAGTGGAGTCGTCACTGTCATCCTCATACACACATCTCGGATCAGAGCACTCGCTGCTCTATGGCTCAGGGCATCGGCTACCACGTTAGCCTTGCCCAAATAATACAAGATCTTGCAGTCATAGTCTTTCACTACATTTAACGACCTCTTATGTCTCATATTTAGGTTGGGATGATCCATGAGATACTTCAGGCTCTTTTGGTTCGTATATTGTTGGATTAGTGTCTAAGTCCATAACTATAATTAGTATGTACTTGACCCGACTCAACATGGTCCATTTGGGTTGCATGGCATCGGAACATTTGGATAGACCGTTTGTGAGAAGAGGAAATTTGTGACATATTAATATATTATAAGTTCTAATATATTAATATGAAATCATGTTATTTAGTTAGTATTGATCAAGAATTAATTTGGACTTAATTTCTACACTGCAAGAGGCTTCCATTCAGGTAGAAACCCCCCCACCTTGATCACTAGTTCTTTAGATCCCCTTTTTGTCCCTAAAATGGTGGTTTTCAAGCCCTAAAACACCATACTCCTTGTGTTTGTGCTTAATGG